CCAATGACCAGGAGACGGGGAGTTCTAGTCCCGCCTTAGGCATGAAAGCTGGCTGGGTGACTTTGAGCCAATCAGGAAACAGGGAGTTCTAGTCCCGCCTTAGGCATGAAGGGCGACTGGGTGACTGAACCAATTACCAAGAGATTGTAAGTCGAGAACTGGCTGTATCCTTTCCTGGTTGGTGACTCCCCCACCCCCTGGTTTGCCCGCAGGACATTCAGTGGGACATGGACTCCCATCCCCCGGCAGCCGCCGCGCAGCCGCTCAGCCTCCCCAAGCCAACCCCCACGATGGACGCCCTTCCCGTGACGGCTGAGCTCTCCCTGACCGTGGTGGCGGAAATCCAAGCGGTGGAGAGCAAGGTGGATGCGTATGCCGCCCAACTCATGAACCTGGAAGTTCGGATGAGCATGGCCGAGACCAAGCTGGACGGCTGCGAGAAGACGGCGGTAGAGTTCGGCAACCAGCTGGAGAGCAAGTGGGCCGCCTTGGGTACCCTCATCCAGGAGTACGGGCAGCTCCAGCGGCGCCTGGAGAACATGGAGAACCTCCTGAAGAACCGGAACTTCTGGATCCTGCGTTTCCCGCCAGGTGCCAAGGGGGAGGCCCCTAAGGTGAGAGCTGGGGTGGGGTGAGACTGGCGGGAACCAGGGGCCTAATGATTGGTTGGGGACGATGGGAGGGGCAGGTCAGCCTCTGGCAGCAGGTTTTTGCCCAAGAATCCCCCAGTCGGCATGGTTTAAGAGGGGAGGGTTTCAACTCCCAGAATCCCCCATGCTTTAAGAAGGGTGGGGTTCGATTCCCAGAATTCCACAGCCAGTATGCTTTAAGAGGAGTGGAGTTCAAATCCTAGAATGGGATCCAGGTTTCCCCAAATCTTACCGACAAATTTTGTCGTTCTTGCCTTAACTTTTCTCATTGCTGAAGCTGCATTTTGTTGGATAGGGCCCTGCGTTCAAGTCCGTCAAGATCTTTTTTTGATCTTGAGCCTATCTTCCGAAGGTTTGGTTACTCCTGCCCGTTTGGTATCGTCTGCAAATTTGATGAGTTCCCCTTCTATCCCCTCATCTAAATCAGGGGTCTCCAACCCTTTGGTTGCGAAAGATTTGCACCCGGGGCTCAGAAATATTTGGCGACCACACGGGCACACCCTTGCGGCCTCAGTTGCAAGAGCAGCAGGCGAGTGCGAGCGCTCTCCATTTGAGCAATTGGCACTCATGTACACCAGTTGTGCAAAGGAGCTGCGAGTGCATTTGTTGGCTGTTCTCATAGAACCATTCTTCTTTCCGCCGCAAAGCCGCAAAGGTTGCCGAACTCTGATCTAAAGTGTTGAAGACCTCGCGTTCTCGCCCTGTGGCAGGTCCCGTTGCTGTTCGATGATGCTGCCTGCAGTTTCTCGGAGCAAGAGTGGAGGGGTCTTGATGAAAGCCAGAAGGACCTTTACCGCCACATTATGATGCACAACTACCAGGCGGTGGTCTCCGTCGGTAAAAGTGGGCTGGCGTCAGGGCTGGGGCCCACAGTGATCAGCTGCGCGACTCTCGGAGAGAAGCTGGCCAGGCGGCTGCGGGTGGATCGGAGCATGGCTCTGTAGTGGCTTGGTGGCGTTGTGGCTGGGTTCTCCCATCGCAGAACGGTTGTGTAGTTTCGCCCGGAGAGGGGTAGTGGATATCCGGGCTGTGTCCAGGGAAGGAAGGGTCTCCCTTGGGATTCCATAGACCTCCATTCCCCATTCTGATGTCTTCGGAACCCAAAGCGAGTTCTCTCGCAGACAGTTAGTCCTCAACACATGATCACAATTGTGCCCAGCATTATCGTTGCAAAGTGAGATGGTTGCTCCGTTAATTTTGTCCCATTTTGACGACCTTCCTTGCAACAGTGGTTAAGAGAATCGCTGCAGTTGTTCAGCTAGTCACAGCTTCATGAAGCGAATCTGGCTTTCCCCATTGGACGATGCCTGTCCAAGGGAATCGTGAGGGGGTCACGCGATTCCCTTCGATGATCTTTGGACAAGTATCGGTACACTGCAACCATTATAAATATGAGTCAGTCGCTAAGCATCCAAATTTTGGATTGCGTGATCATGGGGATGTTCCAACGGTCGTTAAGTATGAAAAACGGTTATTAGTCCCTTTCTTCAGTATGAATGGTCATCAGTGGGGTGGGCTCTTACCAGTTCGCACCATTTGGGGCAAACCAGATGTGAATTCGCAAAAAACTGGCTGACCCTGCCCACCCTTCCCCTCCCAGGAATCTTCACGCAGTCCGTTTTGGATCCCAGGTAAATGCAAGGCTGCAGAGAGGCTGTTTTCATTCTCCCGGATGCTTGAGAAAAGCCTCCGGAGCCTGGGGATGACGAAAAAGTTCCGGAAGGCTGGAAATGGGCCTGTTTCCGGCCTCCAGAGGGCCTCCAGAGCCCGGAGAGGCCGTTTTTGTCCTCCTGGAGGCTCAAGAAAAGGCTCCGGAGCCTGGAGAGGGTGAAAACGGCCCCCCTCCCCGCCGTGGTGCAGGAGGCCGACTAGGCCACGCCCACCCAGCAACCAGGCAGAAAACTGGTTGCTAAAGTTTTGGAAGCCCACCTCTGACAGTCGCTAAATTAACGCTTTGTAAGTCCAGGACAAGACCTGGACCGCGATGCTGTTGTTTTCTCTGCAGACGCGGCCGTCTCCAAACCGGAACTCCTCACCCGGATTGAGCAAAGAGAGACCTTGGAGCAGAACGATGGCAGAGGAGACTGCCCCCGTGACGAGTCCGGCTTCGGCAACCAGCCAGGTGGGGTGGGGGCATTTCCCCTCAGGCTTCCCCTTCCTCTGGTTTTGAGGTTTTGAGAATTTTTTTCCAGCTTAAAAACGTTGCTCTTTTATTTGGGGTTGTCTTCTAAATCGAGGAGAATTTTCAGGAGGTGGAATATGCTGACCCTTCAGTGCTGGAGACCCTTCCCCTCCGTACCTGCTCATTTCCTTACTGGATTCTAAGCCTTTAGCTTTTTTTTTTTTTTTCCAACTTGGTAACTTTAAGATTGCTTGGGTTCAACTCTCGGAATTCCCTCACCGTCAGGCTTTAAGAAGGGTGGACTTCAACTCCCAGAATCACCCAGTCAGTGTGCACATCTGAAGGCATGTTGTCTGGGGGATTCTGGGAGTGGTAGTTCACCCACTTGGCGTTCAAGACTGACTTAGCTAATGGAACAAGGAGAGGGGAAGTGGCGGGAAGTGGGAACGCGGAGACCTGGGAGTGACGGCCCTTGTCTCCTCTCGCTTTTGCACAGGATCGCCAATTTCGGCTCCGCGCGGGAGTTCCTGGATTGAGGAGGAAGATCTGTCTCTCGTCAAAAGCACGGGGGCCTCAGAGGACAGAGAAATCCCTGGGGAGTGCACCATGGGTAAGAGAGGAGACGGGACGCCGGGGGAAGGAGTGCGGGGCAGGTGACCCGTTAAGCCCCAGCTCCTATTTGTCCAATCATCCAATGGGATGGTTTGCTTGTGAAACTACAGGGACATAGACAGAGCAACGTTGGACTACTCAAGGGGGTTAGTCCGAGATGTCCCTGGTGGCTCTAGTGTCATGAGTGTCAGTCCTGCCTGAACTTGAACCTTCAACCAAGCAAGAACGATCCTTGATTCCATTTCTTGAGAAAGGTATAGTTTACTGAAGGTCAAGTGAAATACAGTAAAGCAAAGCCAGAACTGAGGTTTGCGCACCAAAGGTATAGTTTAGCCGGTTCGAGGATCCTCGTCCGGCACTCTCTTTCGCCCATGGTTTTTTTTTTTCTCTTTGTCTTGTTAGCCATGACTTGTCCCAGCTGGGAAAATGTGTGGGTGAAGGGCACACCGAGGGGTCAGGAAGGAAGGCGCCCAGGGGTCTCCAACCTCTGAGCCACGGGGAGGGGTTTGCAACCAGGTCGCGGAAGCGATAGGTGCACACAGACTCATCCCCCACCTGCGTGAGCGGCAGGAGGCAATGCGCGCACCTACTCCATTTGAATCAGCGGCAGAGGGCGCGTATACGCTGTACGGCGGTGGGATCCCAAATGGCGCGCTATCGATTCTGTGCGCCTCGCATTCAAAGATCGGCCTCGGTAAGGTGAGCTGTTATTTTAGCTCAGCTGAGGTGTGGCACAGCGCGAATCGGCTGAGCTAAACAAAAAAAAAATAATCAATGCAATAAAGGGTGGGTGAGGCCAGCCAGAGGTGGTACTTGCTGGTTCTCCGAAGTAGTTAAAAATTTCGCTACCGGCATGCCAGAACCAGTCCGAACCAGCTGAATGTCACCTCTGACGCCCTGCTTGCAAATGGAGGTGTGCATACGTTCACTTTCTTGCAGGTCACTCGTGCAGAACCATCCCATCTCTCCCTCCCTTTCCCGCCGGCCATTCCTAACGGCCGGAAAAGTTGGGGAACTCCACCCTGGCTGATCTCTTGACTCATCTGGCAAGGATCCAAGCAGGAGATGGCAGCACGGGGCATGCAGAAGAAGGGAGAGGGGACCTTACCTCTGTAGCAGGGGTCGGCAACCTGCGGCTCTAGAGCCACATGCGGCTGTTTTGGCCCTCTGCTTTGGCTCCCTGCAGCAGCTTGGGGACTCTAGGATCCATGATCCGGGCTTCAGGGTGGAACGGGACCTTCACAGGAACACAGTCCCTGTCGTGCAGCTCCAAGTTGGCCACGACATGCCACTCACAGCCCAAAAGAGCCGAGATGTTGAGCTTTGGCTAAGCTTGCTTGGTCAGGATTTGAATTCAGGCCTGCAATATCTTTTCTCACTTCTCCTCTACCACAGACACCCCCCCCCCCCAAAAAAAAAGTCTGAAAGGGCCGATCCATCTGCCTGGAAACGGGTCGGCAACCTGCGGCTCTGGAGCCACATGTAGCTCATTTGGGTCTCTGCTGCAGCTCCCTGTTGGCTGATCCCACCACTGGCTGGCTCCTCCCTCCCCTCCCCGTCACTCCTCGCCTGGCCTGAGAATTAAGAGTGATGGCGGGGGATGGAGACTCGCTCTATATTCCAGGGCAGCAGGTGACTGGGTGGGAGTGAGTGATGTTGAGTTGGCTACACGCCCACCCAGTCACACCGGTTAAATTATTAGCTCCCAGTGTTGTTGTTGTTTTCTGTGGGAAACCGGCCCAAGTAGCTCTTTGAGTGTTTAAGGTTGCAGACCTCTGCTCTATATACTCTAAACAGCCCTGCTGGGCGCGTCCCTCCTCTGTCACCTGTGTCCTTTCTTTTGCCAGGTGCTCCTCAGCTGTTGGAGGACGACGTGGACAACCTCTTCCCGCACAAGTGGAGCGAAGTTTTCCAGGGTCCTGGAGAGGAGCTGCTGTGCGAGAGCCAGTCTGTCTCTGTCGCCCTGCCCAAGAAGCCCCTCCGGCGGTCCACACAGGGACCGTCGGAGACCCAGAAAGAGCATTCGGCCCCATCAGCTGCAGAAGCTCACCCCGGCCCCTTCATCTGCTGCGAGTGTGGAGAAGGATTTGTGGACAGGCAGCTTTTCACCAGCCACCAGAAGACCCACGGCGGAAGCGGGGCATATCTTGTGCCAGAGCCTAAAGGAAACCCAGCGGTTAAATTCACCCCCTTCTCTATCCAGAGGGCCCCAACTCCTGCCCGTCCCAAAGTGCACAAGCGCCCTGAGCCGCAGAGGAGCCCAACGGTGAAACCCAGCGCTGTGAAACGGCCTGGGAACCACATGGTGGAGCGTCCCTACACGTGCACCCAGTGCAAGGAGAGCTTCAAGCTGGAGGTCAGTCTGCTCCTTCACCAGAAACTCCATGCGGGGAAGGGCGACGGGCCGCTGACCTGCACCTACTGCGGCAAGGACTTCCGGGACCTCTCCAAAGCTGTGCGCCACCAGCGGATCCACACGGGTGAGCGGCCGTATCAGTGCACGGAGTGCGGGAAAAGCTTCATCCGGCGGGACCATCTGTTGAAACATTGGCGTGTCCACACGGGCGAGACGCCCTACCAGTGCGCTACTTGTGGGAAGAACTTCCGCTACAAGGAGTCACTGAACTGCCACCAGAAAATCCACACCCGCAACCCCACCGTGCGCCACCTGATGCTGGGAACACAGTCGGGGCTGATGGGCCTGAAACCTGAGCAGCCGTAGCGTTGCCGGGTGCCCATCTGAAAGGGATGTGCCAGCCCTTGGGGGAGTGTCCCAGTTTGGGCGGTGGTGGGGTAATGTACTCTTGGGGGCAACAGGAGCATTGATTGCCTCCTTTGTCCTGTACTGGGTACACCTGCTGGATGCCAACACGTTAGCTGTGTGCTGCTCCTGTGCAAGGGGTCATGTGACAGTTGCATTTGAGCGGACTGCAGAAGTATTGTAGCCTGCTCACCCTGCACCTCCTTGCATGCAAATACTCCGTCGCTCTCTCCAGATCGTCCCCCTCAAATTCCACTCATTTCTTTGCCACGTCCGCTTGCCGGTACGAGTTTGCCTTGCTTCGTGTACCCCCTACACACGTATCGACGTCCTTCAGGTTTCACAGTGCGCCGCAGAGGTTGGCAAAATGGTTCTCCTTCAATCCTGCCCACTCAGGATGGGGGAGGGGGTTGTCCTCCCACACCTCCACGGAACTTGGAAACGCCCACCCGCCCCCATTTCCCACATCCTTGTCCTTTACTTGGCGTTGTCTGTCTTCTCCATTTTACTTTCGAAACTGTGTTTGATTCGTGTGAGAACAACTCTTAACGCCCAGCTCTTGTGTTGTGTGTGGTTTCGCTGTGTGATGTCCTCCGTGGGATTTTGTGTTGCCTGGCTCCCCAAGTTCTTGCACACATTGGGACTGCCAAGATCTACCCTCCATTGTTGTGGTGGTGTTGGTTATTATTATTTTCCCAAGGTATCTGTAAATATTGGTTTGCTATGAATTGCCCTGTTGTCGTTGAACTCAATTGTTGGCTGAAGTGACAGTGAGAAATCAGCTTTTCTTCTGTGTGACGTCCAGTGTTTGATATCTGTGGCTACAGTTTTGGGGGAGGGGTTGTTGGTTTTTTTGTATCACCTTCTTTGGCAAAAACATGTCTGTTCGCTGTGTCTCCGCCTGACGTCTTTGTCCTCTGTGGGTTTAGGGTTGGGTCGTTTGACTGCTCTCGAGTGTGAGAGATTTCGGGTTCAGACAGTGCCATTGATCTCAACTTACGACTATCCACTTTGCAATCATTCAAAGTTACAACGGACTCCTCTCTTCCTCCCCCCTCCCCAAAGACCCTTATAACCCAGTTCTGAAGTTACAACTCCCCCATTCGTGTGATTTGAGCGCTGAGCCTGCATTGATAGCTCTCAATTTATAATAATTTGCTTAGCGACCACTCAGAGTTACAACTGCGTTGGAAACAATGGACTGATGGCCGTTTTCCCACTTAGTGACCGCGGGAGCCTCCCCTTGGTCACGGGATCAAAATTCAGGAGGCTTGGCAACCAATTCGTTCTTACGATAGTCCCGGGGCTGGATGATCCCCTTTTGTGACCTTCGCTTCAGGGGGATGGAAGCCAGATTCACTTAACGACCATGGTGAGGAACGTAAACCATCGCAGTGAATCGCACTGGAGAACGTAAAAAGGGCCGGGATTCCCTTAATGACTCCTGGCGAGATGGGTCATAAAACGGGGCAAATGTCCCGTTCCCCCCCCCCCCCGCTCCGCCGGTCTCGGTCCACAACAGCTCCCTCGTGGTCGTAAATCAAAGACTTTCTGTCTTCCAGCCAGGGGCTCCATCTTTGAGTTGAATACCCACAGAAGATCACTTGAGCCTCCCACTCCTACCTCATAAATCTGCCCTGGGCCTAAGCCGGAAGTAATGGCGGGGGGTGCGGGGGGTGGAAGGCGTGGAAACCGGTTCGGGCCGGTTCACACGAACCGGATGTTAATTTTACATCGGGTTCCGCGAACTGGTAGTTCCGAGGACCAGCTGGCCCTGCCCCGTTCTGGCTCTCAGGTAAGCGCAGGGGGGCCTCCTGGGCCCCAAACGGGGTGCGGGGGGGGCGTGCGTTGAAAGAAAGAGAAAGAAAGGGAGGGAGGGAAGGGCGAAAAAAAGGGGAAGGTGGGAAGGGAGAAAGAGGGAGGGCTGGAAGAAAAAGAAAGAAAAGAAAGGGAAGGAAGGGAGAAAAAGAAGGAGGGAAGGGAGAAAAAAGGAGGGAGAAAAAGAAAGGGAGGAAGGAGAGGAAAGAGGAAAGGGGGAAAGAAAAACGGGGAAGGGAGAGAGAAAGTGAGGAAGGGAAGGGAGAAAAAATGGAGGGAAGGAAGAAAGAAGGAAAGAGGGAAGGAAGAAAGGGAAGGGAAAGTGAATGAGATATGGATGGATGGATGGATAGAGGGAGTGAGGGAAGGAGAGAAAAAGGAGTGGAAGGAAGGACCACAAACCCTGGCACTTGGCGCAGCTTCAGAGGATGCTTTGAAACAGCCCAGCCATCCAGGGCTGGAAGGGACCTCGGAGATCATCTAGTCGAACCCTCTGCTCCAGCAGGAGAACTTATATTGGTTATTTTGGGTTTTTTTTATCTACAAAGCCACACCCACCCAGTCACATGGCCACCTAGCCATGCCCACCAAGCCACGCCTACAGAACCAGTAGTAAAAATGTCTGAATCCCACCACTGCGGCAGAAGCCCCCCACCCAGAACAGCTACTTTTGGGGAGGGGGGTGGGAACGGAAGCCGCTTGGGGACTCTAGGACCCATGAGGCTGGGCTTCAGGGTGGAAGGTGGCCTTCCCAGGAACGCAGACCCTCTCGTGCAGCTCCAAGTTGGCTGTGATGCGCCACTTGCAGCCCGAAAGAGCTGAGACGAGCTTGCTTGGGTCGGAATTCGAATTTGGGTCCACCATTTTTTCCCCTCACTTCTTCTCCACCACAGACACACAACCCCTCCCCACCCCCCCAAAAAAGGCTGAAAAGGCCGGATGATCTGCCTGGAAACAGGTCTGCAACCTGTGGCTCCAGAGCCACCTGTGGCTCCCTGTCGGCTGATCCCACCGCTGGCCCCGCCCCTCCCCGTCACTCCCCACCTGACCTGGGAAGGTTAAAGGGTGATGGGGGGGCGGAGACTGGCTCCATATCGCAGAGCAGGAGGGGGCTGGCTGGGAGGGAGGGAGGGAGGGACGTGCAGTTGAAATGGGTCCAAATGGCTCTTTTGAGTGTTCAAGGTTGCCGATCCCTGGCCTGGCGGGTCCTCCCTTTCTGAGCCCTAATGGAGGTTGATCGACTGTTGAAAGGGAGACTCTTGAGACCATCCAGTCCAGCCCCTGCTGGCTGCAAGCCACGGTCTCTTCCGGGGGTGGGGGCCTCAAATCCCTCCCGATTGTCACTTGCAAACCCGTTTCCTTGTTGCTCCAGACTCTTTCCAGCATGACAGGATGGCAAGAGTTGGAAGGGACCTGGGAGGTCATCCAGTCCCAACTCCCAGCTCCAGCAGCAGATCCTTACAGAAGCACTGGAGGACCAGCTTTCGGAGGGGAGGTTACTTCCATCCACCCCAAAAAATTTTTAATAGCCTTTCTCTGAATTGACAACCCAGCGTCCTCCCTCCTTCCTTGAACCTTCAGCCAAAAGAGGCAGAACCAATAAAAGAGAATATTTGTGGCTCAAGGTTGGAATGAAGGGTGCTTGGGGGTCTCTGAGCTGGGGGGGGGGGTTCTTGCAGATGTTTCGTGACCCAACTAGGGAACATCCTCAGTGCTGGAAGGAAGGAAGGAAGGAAGGGAAGAGAAGAAGAAGAAGAAGAGGAGGAGGAGAAGGGGAGGAAGAAGAAGAGGGGAGGAGAACGGAAAAAATGGAGGAAAAAGGGGACGGAACGTCATCTGACCAGAAGGCATTTCTATACCAGTCTTATTTTAAAACACACATACACGCACAACCCTTCCTCCAGACACTGATAACATTCCCCAGTCGGGTCACAAAACGTCTACAAGAACCCCCCTCTTCTCCCCCCCCCACCCAGCCGCTCAGCGAGGCAGATCAGAGGGTCTTCAGGGCTCCTGATCTGGGGGGTGGGCGGAGCTCTTAACTCAACTTGGAGAATCGCCTCCGCGGCTCCGCCTCGTTTCGCGTCCGAGCTCCCTTCCTCAGACTCGTTCGAGACCCCCGCCAGGCTCTCGGGGAGGGGGGAACCTCCTCTACCCCGACCACCCGGGCCATCTACCCCAGCCGATCCCACCCACCCTAAAAGCGGAGATATTCCACCCCGTCCGCCCTTAAATGCGCTCCCAGGTGCATGTTAAAGATTCTAGCCAGGTGCGACCTGGCTTGGATGGGGGGGGGGGAAAGAAAGCGAGGGGGGGGCGTCGGCTTGCTGCTGCGGGTGCGCGGCTCCTCCTCTTCCTTCGGAGCCCTCCCCCAAGTCCCCGTCCCCGCCGCCGCCCCTCCGCAGCCTTGGCGTCGTCCTAGCCCACCGCCCAACCGTGGGAAAGAAATGGCAACACCGTGGGAACCGCCGAATCTGCAGGTATTTCGAAGCTCCGGAGCCGCATCGGCCCATCCCTTCTTCTCGTCCCGATCCGGAGAGATCGGCGCTTTACTCCAGCAACGCTCTCTCTCTCTCCTTTAGTCCAGGGTGAACCATGCAGGCGCTCTGCGTATGCTCAGAGGCTTGATCTTGCTCCTCCCAAGGAGAAAAAAGCCCCCCCCCCCCCAAAATTGGGGGGGCGGGGGGGGGGGGGGACGGAAAGAGAGGCCCCCCCCCCTCGGTGTCCCCCTGGTGTCAGCCAAGGGGACACCGGATTTCAGGATTTGCTACTTAGTAATTCTGACATTTTTTAAAAACAAACAAACGAATTCTGGTTTGTTACTTTCCCAACCTTTTCTTTTTGTTAAATGGCTGCTAAACCAGGAATTGTGGTTTGTAAGTGGGAGTGGGGTTTGTCACGGTTTCTAGGTGAGGACTTTTGGGGACGGCTGTTCTCCCCACCCCCCTAAACCAGGAAATAGTGGTTTGTTGCCCCTGTTAAACCAGGAATTGGTTTGTAAGCAGAAGTGGGTTTGTCATAGTTTCTGGGTGGGGACTTTTAGGGATTACCATTCCTCCTGCTAAACCAGGAGTTGTGGTTTGTAAGCGGAAAACTCAACAGTTCGTTTAGCAACCGTTTAAAGTTACAATGGTGCTGAAAAAAGGGACTTAGGACCGTGTTTCACACTTATGACCGTTGCTGCCTCCCCATGGTCAAAATTGAGACACTTGGTAACCAGTTCGTATTTATGACGGTTGCGGCATCCCAGGGTCACGCAATCCCCTTTGGCGACCTTCTGATGAGCAAAGTCAAGGGGGAAATCGAGATTCACTTTGTGACCGGGTCACTGACTGAACAACTGTAATGATTCACTTAACAACAGTGGCAAGAAAAATCGTAAAATGGAGCAAACTCACTTAAGAAATGTTTCACTTAGCAACAAATTTTGGGCTCAATGGTTAAGTTTTAGACCTTGTTTTTAGCCATGATTGGTAAGTGAATCAGTGCAGTCGTTAAGTGAATCTGACTTGCCTCTTTGACATTGGTTGTTGGAAGTCTCAAAAGGGGATCACATGACACACACACACCCAGGACACCAAAATGTTGCCTAATAGAGGTAGTCCTCGGTTTACAACACTTCATTTAGTGACTGTTTGATATTATCAAAAGCGTCTTATGACTTTTTCGCACTTACGACTGTGGCAGACTTGGATTTTACGACGGTTGCAGTGTCCTGGGGTTACGCGGTCTCTGTTTTATGACTTGCTGACAAACCACATCAAAAGGGACAAGCCGGATTCATTTAATGACCGCTAGATTGACTTTAACATCTGGACTGAACTGCTTAACTGTCGGTGGGAAAGCCGGATTTCATCAATAGCCATGTTGCCGACTTTACAATCGCCGGGATTTGTTTAATGACAGGGGGAAGAACGGTCGTCAAAAAACGGGGCCAGAACTCACTTGCACGACTCTCTTCACTTAGCCACAGAAATTGGGGGAGTGGTCCTTGAAGTCGTACATCGAGGACTTCCCATACCCCGATTTGGACGTTCAAGTACCCAGACGTTCAGGTGATGGTCGTAAATGTGATGACGGTCCTAAGTGTGAGGACCTGTTTCCTCTGCCGAACAGCCGTGAAACAAATATTGCTTAGGATTTGCCGTAGAAGCTCCCACGTGGAGAACAGGGGGTGAGGGGTGGTAGTGGTGGTGGGGAATTCTCCCAGTTCGGACCGGTTCTATAAAACCAGTTGTTACAATTCTGCCCAGTTGGGAGAACTGGAAAACCGTGTCCTTGGCTGGCCCCACCCCTCTCCGCCCAGTCAGTCCTTATGGTATTTCTCCCCCCGGCCCCCTCCCGACAATCAGCTGTGCCGGGATGCCCCTCGCCGTCTTCCTGCTTCGCCCAGGAGGCAAACAAAATGGAGGGGAAAAGGAAGGAAGCCACACCCACCCAGCCACCTGGTCATACCCACCTAGCCACGCCCACCAAACTGGTAGTAAACATATTTGCATCCCACCCCTGGTTTGGGTGGTTTTATTGACCGTTTTTGTCCTTAGTGGAACCGAGCCGTCCCACCCCCGCTGGTGCCGCCCCCGGGACTCTTTTGGACTCTCCCCAAAACCGGATGCGAACCGGCGGCGATCCACCGGCAAGCCACCGAATTCTCCCTCTGGACGTTGCTGGCAGCCATGCAGGCGGTGGAGAGGAAGGTGGATGTGCACTCGGGACAGATCCGGACTCTTCGACGGCGGGTCGATCTGGCGGAGCGCAAGCTCTCGGCGACAGAGAAAGCGGTGACCGACTTTCTGCCCCAGCTGGACGCACTGGGGACGCTGGTCCGGGCCTATGAGCAGCTGCAGAAGCGGCTGGAGACGGTGGAGGAGAGATTGAAGAAACCCAACCTTTGGGGGCTGAACGTCCCACCAGGCGCCGGAGGGGAAAGCCCGCAGGTCAGAAGGACAGGGAGGGAGACAATCGTAGCGGGACCTGTAGTCGTTGCTTAGTTGTTGCTTGGGCAATAAAACTGACTCAGTTTGGCAGGGTTGGGGACCGGAGAAGGCCAGGGCGTCAGGGGAAGGGTGCGAGGAATGGGGGTGAGGAGGTTTTCGAACCTGTTCCTTGCTTGAATCCAGGACAACAATATATCAGATTCGTGATCTGTCTGTCTGTCTGTCTGTCTGTCTCTCACTCACTCACTTTCTTTCTATCTTCAATAATTTATTATAAAATATCCATCTATATTTATCCATCTATCCATCCATCGATCTCTCTCTGTTATATATATATCCATCTGTCTGTCTGTTTATCTCTAATCTCTCTCTCATCTCCTACTCTAGCTCTCATCCATCCATCTATCCATCCATCCATCCTTATCTATATTTATACATCTATCTCTCATCTCTGTCTCTCTCTCCTGTATGTATGTATGTATGTATGTATGTATGTATGTATCTCTACAGCTGTCTATCTTGGCAAACAACCCTGGGCTGTTCACAATTTTTTTAAAAATAACAATTAAAGCCTTAAAATAATTAGAAAACACTAAAAAAAATGTAAAAACCGAATGAATGTGTGAAGAGGACGAATGCAAGGAGACTCTCAAAGCCAGAGAGGTGTTCTCCCTGCCAAGTGGCTAGAATGCCCGTGTGTGTGTGTGTGTGTTTCTGTGTTTCTCTGTGTATGTGTGTGTGTGTGTGTGTGTCTTAGATATGGCGTGGGTGGTCCCAGAAGCGGGCGCATTTTGGGAGGAGACCACGCCCTCCCCAGCTGATCTGGGATCTCCCGGGTTCCGTTTTCCAGGTTCCTGTGAAGCTGGGCAACGTCTCAGCCTACTGCTCAGAACTGGAGTGGGAGGACTTGAACTCGGGAGCACCAACGCGCCAGAAGGCTGAGGAGTCCTTGGTTTCAACTGGTAAAGGGAATCCAGAGGGATTTTGAGAAAAAGGGGGTCGGCCCAAATCTTGGAGGCGACGGAAATAAATTGGGCGGGATACGTTGGGAAGAATGAGGAGAAGAGACGAAATTTCAACTTAAGCAACCAGAGGAAAAAAATTTTTTTAGTCCTCAGCTCACAACGACAGTGATCTCAAAACATTGCTAAACTTGACGGTTGGGAAGTCCCCCCCCCCCCCCCCCCCCAGCAATCTCTATATATTAAATCTCTCTCTCTCTCTCGATCTGTCTATTCATCCACCTATCTCTATCTATCTCTATCTTTGTGTATCTGTCTCCATCCATCCATCTCCCTTGCGGGGTGGAATCTGGGCAGGTGAATGGAGTTGAGTGTTTACTGCCCAGATGCCCTTCCTGCCACTAATGCGGAGTTTTGTTGAGCAGATATATTCTCATTGTGCCCAGATCTATGCCCCCTGCCCCACCCACCCCCATCTCTTTCTCTGATTTCTGCAACCATTTATCTTAGCAAACAACACTGGGATGTTTACAATTAAAAAAATTACAATTACAGTCTTAAAAACATTTAAAAACAGGAAGAACCATTATAACAGTCTCTCTCTCTCTCTCTCTCTTTCTCTCTCTGTCTTTCTCTCTCTCTCTCTTTCTTTCTCTCTCTCTCTCTTTCTCTCTCTTTGTCCTCTCTTTCTCTCTCTTTCTTTCTCTCTCTCTCTCTTTCTTTCTTTCTCTCTCTTTCTCTCTCTCTCTCTTTCTCTCTCTTTCTCTCTCTCTTTGTCCTCTCTCTCTCTTTCTTTCTCTTTCTCTGTTTCTCTCTCTCGCTCTCTTTCTCTCTCTTTCTCTCTCTCTTTGTCCTCTCTCTCTTTCTTTCTCTCTCTTTCTCTGTTTCTCTCTCTCGCTCTCTTTCTCTCTCTTTGTCCTCTCTCTCTCTCTCTCTTTCTTTCTCTCTCTCTCCCTCTCCCCCCCTCCCTCTCTTTTTCTCCCCTCCCTCCAGATTGTGCTACCTCCAAACCTGGTTCATTATCCCCAACGAAAGGGGGGGCGCCTTTAAGTGGGAAGCACCAAGGGACCTCTGGGGAAGCAGAAGACATCCAACAAGACAGAACAGGTAATTTGCAGGGAACCCATTCCCACAGCCAACAATTCCAAAAGCATTCCCAAATGCTTGGTTTTCTTATCTGTTCCCTAGAAGCTGTTGTCTTCTTGCGGACTGGCGCCGTAGCTGACACAGAGCCTGGAAACCTGGATCAGTTCAGTCCCTTGCCTGCATCTTTGGAGCAAGATGTATCACCCTCCTCAGAGGAGGGCTTGGTGCCAGTGGACAGCCGGACGGGTGCACTGCAACCGTCGACTGAGTCTGGAGGAGACATCACAAATTTTACTACCATCGTTGTCCAGGAAGGAGTACTTCCTGGTGAAGCGCCGTACGTGTGTCCTGATTGTGGTAGGAGCTTCTTGTATGAGGAACAATGCGCCTTGCACCAGCAATCCCATCTCCAAGTCTCTCCTGACCGTGGAGACGCTCCTGTACAACATCCCCAGCCAGCGGTCAGGGCGTATACCTGTCCAGATTGCGGGCGCTGGTTTCCCCACCAGGCCAGCCTGAGCAAACACCGCCTCTGGCACACGGGCGATCGGCCTCACACTTGCGCTGAGTGCAAGAAGACTTTCCGACTGAAGATCAATCTGCACCTTCACGAGCGTACTCATGCGGTCGCCAAAAAAACCGGCTTGTACATCTGCAGCCAATGCGGCCGGACGTTCAACCATCACTCGAATTTCTTACGGCACCAGATGATCCACACCGGGGAGCGGCCATACACCTGTGGGGAATGCGGGAAGACATTCATCCGTAAGGAGCATCTCGCTACCCATGGGCGGCTGCACACAGGCGAGCGGCCCTACCAGTGCCCACTTTGCCCAAAGAGCTTCACCCGCAAGCAGCATTTGGTGGGACACCAGCGCCTGCATGAGGGGGAGGCGATCTGGCTGGAGGAACACCCCACTCAGATGAACGGGCATGGCCAACGGGGTGGAATCGGGCTCCGGGCAGACGATGTTGAGCCTGGACTCGGACAAGAGACGTATCCCCCGTAAACTGTTCAGCAGATTCCAAGGGAGAACCAGATGAGAGGATGGCGGCCTGAGAGCAGAGTTTAGGCAGCCATCTTGAACCAAGCACAGGACTGTCATTGGTCACAGCCTTGCTCCCCAGAACTGGAGGCAGAAGGCCAGATCTGGGGCTTAAGGCCCATGGAGTTGAAACGGACCTTGGAGGCCTTTTGGTCCAACTCCCTGCGCAATCAGAAGACCCTACCCCATTCTGGACCAATCTCTTCTCACGTGACTGATTCCTTGAGTTTTGCTGAGACCGAGATGTGGAGTGGGTCAAAAAAGTCAAAATGGCCACCAGCCCAATCCCTATTTTTGCCGATACTCGATAAGAGGTTCTAACGGTGCTGCGTTCAGTTCCTGGAGATCGAATTCTTAATTCTCTGTTTTCATCCCTGGTTAACTTCCTCTGTGGGAGGGAGGACAAGGGAATTCTGGGAGTTCCAACTTTAACTTCAGGCGCAAAGAATCAGGACCACGTCTTAAATCCCAAGTCGCTTTAATCCCTCGTGCCTAAACTGGTTGAGTCCTTGTCGTATGACCGCAATCTAGCTCAACCTCTCCACTTGTTCAGTGAGCTGTGCCCATTTTACCACTGTCGTTAAGCAAATCCCCACAGCCCTTAACATGGATGAATCGGGCTTGCCCGTTGACATTTGCTGGTCGGAAGTCAGTTGTCACCTGAATTTTGAGTACGTCAACACAGGGATGCCACAACGATCATTAAGTGTGTCCCTGGGATGCAGCAACCTGTCATAAAAGATGAGTCAGCTGTCAAAACATCTGAATTTTCATTACATTGACAAGGGATGCTACAACGGTCATAAGTGTGAAAAAACGGTCCCAAGTCATTCTTTTTTTTTCAAGGCCATTGACATCTTGAAGAGTTACGAAATCATCCTTGTGTAACGACCCTATAATCCCTCGAGGGGTGGAGTCTGGGCAGCTGAAAGGAGCTAGCAGAGTCTTTCCTGGCCGGATGCCCTTCCTGATGCCGATGCTGAGTTTTTGTTTGGCAGATATATTCTCAATGTGCCCAGAGAGAGAAATATCTGTTTCTATCTAGGATCGAACTCACAGCCTCCTGATGGTGAAGCGAGAGGTTCTACCTCTAGGCCATCGCACTGCCCTTGAAAGGTCACTAAATGGACTGTTGTAAGTCAAGGCCTGCCTACATTGTCATTGTATATTGTACATGTAATTGTACATTGCTCAGACTGTTCCTAATTATAGTGATAAAATAAAGGAAATAAAATTCATTTGAACAGATGAATCATTATATGCTGTAAATACTGTTACAAACAATCCTGCAAAGCTGAATTGCTGCTTTTAATTAATCGAGGGTGTTGAGAGGGACAAAGTTGCAGGTCAATTCACCCAATTTGGGGTGGGGGTGGGTGGGATTCTATTGGTTTGGGTGAGCCAGGAGCTTCAACAATCAGCTGTGAGCGAACCGGTTCGCTCCGATGATCAGCTGTTTTTATACATAGGGCTTGCAGCAGAAGGTGAATTGCAAATGCTCTGCGCGCGCGTGTACCAAACCTGTTGTTACACCGGTTGAATCCCACCCTTGCACACTCTCCATATTTTATCCTGCAATGTGTTGGTAAGAAGCCCGACGGGAAGAATATTTTGGACTCGGACATACTGGCGAAAAATCCAGAAAACAAATTAAGGGATCATTTAAGAATAAAATCCAAGGAATGTGTGGCTAAAATTATTCGGACACATGATGTGAAGACCCAACTTAGACAGTCCTTGAGTTACGACCACAATTGGGCCTTGGATTTCTGTTGCTCAACAAGACAGGTGTTCGATGAGTTTTGGCCCCATTGGGTGACCTTTCTCGCTGCTGCCGTTAAGCGAATCACCAAAGTCGTTCAGTCAGGGACGGGGTTGGGAAGCGAATCTGGCTTCCTGGTTGTCCCTTTGCTCGTCGGTCGCAAAAAGGGGATCGGGTGCTCCCCTCCGGGGACGCTGTGACCATCATAAATGCTAGCCCAGGGTAAAGAGTCTTGGATGACGTGACACTGGTTGTCAGTGTGAAACCCGGTCGAAAGTCATTTCAGGGCTGCTGTAAGTTTGAACGGTCATTAAACGAGTGGTTGTAAATCGAGGACTGCCTGTAGGTACCAAAGGATTTGCAGGATGCTACAGGGGGTAACTCAGAGGTAGAAAAAGCAGCTACTCAGAAGTGAACTGCTGCCGGTTCGGACCGATTCGCCCAATCCGGTTGTTCCAACCACTCTCCCCGGTGCTGTTCCATCCTATATAACTCACTCTCTGGCTCGCTTGCCCCTCCCACACAGCCCAACCGGTTTCCGCGGCTGCCCAAGGAGGTGTGCTGGAAGCCACGTGCATGAAATTGCTGTGTGCTGGAAGCCGCACGCTCACATTTTCGGTTCTGCACTAGGCGAACCAGCTGTTAACTTATGTGAATCCCACCTCTGGTTACCCATGAATTGCAGGAAAGTTAGGTTCTCCCCAGACCTCCCCTTCTGCAATTTCCCCTCTGTTCGACAGGGGCGCTGCAGCCAGTGGCCAGAGGGGGTCCTCCTTCCTCGCTGCACCACACTCTCCTCCCCCAAGAGGACAGCTTCCGGTGTAACTGCACGGACACTTCCGGCTCCCCATCGACCATGAGAAGAGGGGCGTGGCTGGCAAGAGGGGCTTGGAGAATTGGGGTGGGATTTGTTCCCCTCCCTGTGCCAAAAGCCACTTCATATATTTAATACTCATTTAGTAAAGAACATCGAATATTTATTAAATTTAATCAAAGATTTGATTCCATTTAATATATTTATAGCGTTAATATTTAGTACTACTAGTACCAATAATTTAATATTAATATCTTAAATTTAATAAAAATCAAATATTTAATTTGTTTTCATTTAAATCATATAAATTATATTTATGCTGTTTGTTATATAAAATATGTAATATATTAATATATAATTATAATATTACATTATTTTATTATTGTATCGATACAACCTAAAAATACAATAATTACCAGTAATATTTAATCGTCTAATAATAAATGAATAGTAATACTACCACTCATATATTATTAAATTAAAGTATGACATATTTAATATATTTATAATATTTAGTAATTTAATTTAATACATCAATAGTATTACTATCAGTGGTGGAATTCAATTTTTTTTACTCCCAGTTCTGTGGGCATGGCTTGGTGGGAGTGGTAGGGGAAGGATACTGCAGTCAGAAATGGGATCTGCGATTCTCCGAACTACTGAAAGTTTCCACTACCAGTTCTCCAGAACTGGTCAGAACCTGCTGAATACCACCTCTGATTACTATTCATTAAATTGTTAAATATTAAATTGGTATTACAATTCATTTATTATCAAATTAAATTATTAAATATTTAATATATTTAATATTATTTATAGTAGTTAATATTTTTAATTTAATAATACATAAATAGTATTACCATTCATTAAATTGTTAAATATTATTTAATTAGTACTATCCATGTATTATTAAACTAAATTATTAAATATTTAATAATTTAATTACATGAATAGTAATACTAATTAAATAATATTGAACCATTTAATTTATTAATACACAAATAGTAGCGTAACACCCTTCATGTGTTATATTAAATTATTAAATATGCAGGTTATTCATTTATTATTAATAATAATACACTCAATATTTAATTATTTAATTTAATCTAGTATGAGTGATTAAAATGCACAATAATGAATTGAATGACTATTAATCATAAATGAATATGCATCGTATTTAATATTAACCCTACAGGAATGACATGCATTTGTATTTAAGAACAATTAAAGAATCAAGTTAAAATATATAATTCAGATGTAAATTATCAGCAATCATTAAGTAGAATTATAAATTCCTCCTATTATTTATTATGAAATTGAACTATTAAAACTGGTAGTAGTCAAATTGGTTTGATGTTGATTTGATATTTCGGCACCCTTGTTATTTTTTTTTATTCAATTCAATTCCTGTCACACATGGTTCGTATGGGGGACTATGACGATATGAATCCACCCATCCATCAAATCAATCATTGATTCTATTGAGCAGGGGCTTGTCTAGATGACCACTAAGGTTCCTTTCCTACTCTTGATTCTGTAAGTGTCCTACTCGAGCAGGGGGCTGGACTAGATGACCGCCGAGGTCCCTTGAAGCTTTCTGTAAGGGTGTCTTGCTAGAGCAGGGGGTTGGACTAGATGACCGCCGAGGTCCCTTCAAACTTTAAAGGTGTCTTGCTCGAGCAGGGGGCTGGACTAGATGACCGCCGAGATCCCTTCAAACTTTCTGTAAGGGGGTCTTGCTCGAGCAGGGGGCTGGACTAGATGACCGCCGAGGTCCCTTCAAACTTTATGTAAGGGTGTCCTATTCAAGCAGGGGG